CCAAACCAAAACAGACTAATCTCCTTATGAGTTCTTTAAAACCCATTTGGCAACTGAAAGTAAAAATCACGACACTGTCTGATGTGTTTGCAATGTATATAGGTGAAATAAATAAGACAACTCTAAGATAAACAGGGCAAAATAAAGGAGCCTGTACAGTGCTAACCACATTGCCGCATTCCCCTTGAAGTGGTAAATACAGATTCTACGTAGACTGTGAAAAGTTGTGTTTACTGTAAGCTCTAGAGAAACCACTAAAAACTACAGTAAAAGGGTACAGTAAAAAACACAACAGATAAAATACTTAAAAAAAGAAAAAACCTCAAATAACCTAAAAGAAGGCAGGAGAGAGAAACAGAGGAACAACAAACAGAAGGAACAAAAATGAATAATAAAATGGTGAACCTAAACTCAAGCATACAAATAATTAAGCACATTATAAATGGTTTTAACTTAAGAATTAAACAATAGAGGTTGACTGAATAGATTTTTTTTTTAAATGATACAACTACTAAGAAACTTACTTTGAATATAATGACATAGGTAGGTTACAAGTAAAAGGACAGAAAGACACACCATGCAAGCACGTGACCCAGCAATCTATTTACTCTGGAGAAATGAAAACAAGTTCACCCAAAAGCTTGTACATGAACACGTACAGTAGCTCTACGTATAACCACCAAAAACTGGGAACAACCCAAATGATCCTTAATGGTGAATTGATAAACAAGCTGCCGCACATCCATTCAATGAACACATTCTCCCCAGTAAACAGGAACAAACTACTGACACACTCAACAACTTGGATGAATCTCAAAGGCATGATGTTGAGTAAATCAAAGGCATAACGTTGAGTAAAAGGGAAAACTTTCAAAAGGTACATACTATTTGATTCCATTTACGTGACATTTTGAAAAGATAAAGCCATAGAAGAAGTCAGGGGAAGACTGCCTGGGCTTGGGATGGAGACAGAATATGATCATAAAGCGACAGCATGAGGAAATTTGGGGGGATAATGGAACGGTTCTGTATCCTGATTGTGGTGTTGGTTACATAGATCTTTATTTGTTAAAATTCATAGAATTTTACAAGAAAAAGTTGACTGACAAAAGAGTCAACACCAGAGCACCTGGAGAACAAGGAAGTGAGAGCACAGAGAGCTGTGTGCTTCAGCTGTGTCTTCTGGCCTCTAACTCTCGGGACTGAGTGTTCTTATCAATTATTTGTTTCTGTATCCGTCTCCCCAACTGCTTTATATCCCAGGAATAACAGGTGCCTAATAAATGCTTTTTAAAGTTAATAAGACACAGCTCTTAACATATGAAATATATACTTAAAAATGGTGAAAATGGCAAATTATTTTATGTGGCTTTTTTTTTTGAGATGGAGTCTCACTCTGTTGCCAGGCTGGAGTGCAGTGGCGCAATCTCGGCTCTCTGCAACCTCCGACTCCCTGGTTCAAGCAATTCTCCTGCCTCAGCCTACCAAGTAGCTGGGATTACAGGCACACACCACCATATTCAGCAAATTTTTGTATTATTAATACAGACGGGGTTTCACAATGTTGGCCAGGATGGTCTCGATCTCCTGACCTTATGATCCACCCACCTCAGCCTCCCAAAATGCTGGGATTACAGGCGTGAGCCACTGCACCCAGCTGTTATGTGGTTTTCACCACAATTTAAAAAAAAAAAAAAAAAGATGAAACTTTTGCCCTTCGGGAATTCATTATTGGTCAGCTGAAGTCAGCACCTTCAATGACAACAAGCAAATCCATTCTTGGAACAGAGTTGTATTCACAGTGACATTGTCCACAGTCCTTTGGTTTTATATGAACTATTTAAATTCATGAGGAAGATATTTTCATCACACTGATGTGACAAGACAATAGTAACTAAAACTCACACTTTAATTTGAAGTAAAATACAACCAAAACTTTAAGACAAGCTTGAAAAGAGAAAGACGTGTTTCTGGGCATAGCTGTTATTCTAATGGTATAATAAAACAATTTCAATTGTTTTCTAATTTAAAATATTTTTAGTCTGATATGTTCTGCTCACTCTTAAATGTTTACTATCTGGCAAAAGTTGAAAGTTATACAATCCCAAGATCTGTATTACAGGCAAGTTATAAAAGCTACCATCTGTGAAGGGAACCTATATAACTAAGCTATTCAGTTTACTGAATAGTTTAAGAAAGGAAATACAAAATGGGAAGGGGTGCTTAAAAAGTGAACAGGCAAAGAATCATGCTGGCAGTAATTTAAGGAATACCCCAAAGTAGACAACACCCAAAAGCTGCAGGCAGACATCCTCTTCGTTACCTTCTACATAATTCTCAGCGATGTAGCTGTGCTCATGCAGAATCTCCTCCATGCGGCTGAGGGTGATGGCTGCCAGGTGCCCAGGATACTTCAGCTGGAGGAGACGCTGGAGGTAACCAGCTGTTTGGCTTCCTCCAAGATTGATGCGCTTGCAGTTTTTAGCATCTAATCTATAACCAAGCAGTAGAAAATAGCACTGAAATTTCTGGCAACATGAAGGACAGGGTATGGAGCATCTTGGGAGAAACAAGATAATTTAAGGCAGAAAGAGAAGAAACAGACCAGCAGGAGAAACACAAAACCTGACAGTTGGAAGGAAGGGACATTAACGTTCCCTTGGTGCAACCTTTATCTAGGCAGGAATTCCCAGTTCACCATAGTCACATGGCCATCTAAACAGGAAGAAGATGCACTCCAAAGTCGGATCTTAATGAGTCTCATCACGTATTTCTCAAACTGTAGTTCTGGGACCAAGTATCCCAGAATTAGCTGGGGGAAATGTTGAACATGCCAATTCACAGGACACAGCTGCTCTGGTGTGGGCCTGGGAATATGCATTTTAACAAGCTCCCTAGGTGACTGGCATGGGCCAGAGTTTAAGATGCCCTCTCCTAAACACTCCATACCTACTGATGCAAACACATTAAGTAACCACATGCATCCTGGTATACTGTAAAAGAATCAGAGTAATTTTATTTTCCTAATGTAAGAAAGTAAGAGTGGCAGAGCACTAGGAATCGGCTGGAGGGAACTAAAATATGGCTGCTGTATCATACCTCACCAGCAGATGCCAGCATATAACAGGATATGATTCACTCTGATAATTTCCCAGCCTTCAGGTAAAATAATTTTCTCTCAGTATAACATAAAAATAACATGTCATTTTTTATTTCTGCATATTCTGTTTACATAAAATAGAGAACTCCATACATCAGAAGTGTTTGGTAACGCCTAAGAATTACTGTTTCCTTCATAGATTTTCACAGAAACTTCATGAAACATTCAATGGGATTTGTCTTTACATGTTCAGTCTGCTTTACAGTTCACAAAGTGCCATTACCTACCTTATCTCATTTCATTCTCAGGGTAACCCTGGGAAATCAGTTTTTCCCAATTGTACATGTCAGGAAATGAAGTGAGGAAGTTAAGTAGCAGAAGAGCTGCAAACCCAGGCATTCAGTTCCAAAGGCTGGGTCTCTATGACATGTGAGAAACCTTCTCAGGAAACCACAGTGCTGGCCTAGGCTCTTAGCAGACAGTGAAAGCTCTGCGATAAAGTGGGAACGGATTTTTAAATATAACGTAAACTACCTTTGCCTTGTATTCAACTTGAAAATATTTAATAAGGGTCCATTATATGCCAGGCACTGTACCTGAAAGGTCTGAACAACAGTGATTAAAGACCTTTAAATTGGCTGGGTGCAGTGGCTCACCCCTGTAACCCCAGTACTTTCAGAGGCCAAGGAGGGTGGATCACTTGAGGTCAGGAGTTTGAGACCAGCCTGACCAACATGGTAAAACTCCATCTCTACTAAAAATACAAAAAAAAAATTAGTCAGGCATGGTGGCGAGTGCCTGCAGTCCCAGCTACTCGGGAGGCTGAGGCAGGAGAACTGATTCAACCCAGGAGGCAGAGGTTGCAGTGAGCCGAGATCATGCCACTGCACTCCAGCCTGGGTGACAGACCAAGACTCTGCCACAAAAAAAAAAAAAAAAAAAAAAAAAAAAAAAAGAAAAGAAAAGAAAAGAAAAAAGAATTGACTCCAGAACACAAAGATGTTTTTCAATTAAAGTTATTCAAGGCCGGGGTGGTGGCTAATGCCTGTAATCCCCACACTTTGGGAGGCCGAGGTGGGTGGATCACAAGGTCAGGCAATCGAGACCACCCTGGCCAACACGGTGAAACCTCGTCTGTACTAAAAATATAAAAATTAGCTGGGTGTGGTGGTGCGTGCCTGTAGTCCCAGCTATTCAGAAGGCTGAGGCAGGAGACTCACTTGAACCCAGGAGGCAGGGGCTGCAGGGAGCTGAGATCGCCACACTGTACTCCAGCCTGGGCAACAGAGTGAGACTGTCTCGGAAAAAAAAAAAGTTATTCAAAACACTTCTATTGAATGCCTACCACCTGCAGATACCATGTTAGCTATCTCCCCATAAGTCAGAATTATAAAATTGTAGAATTATGGACGTAGAACTAAGAGATCATCCACTCCAACTCCCTTCAGAAGGTCACAAAGGACAGAAATATGGACAAAGTGACTTACCCACAGTCACACAGTGAGGTAGTTCAAAGCCCAACGGCTCAGTTCGTAGGCTAGGACTTGCTCTTTCTACTCTGCCATTAAAGCACACATTAAATAAATGTTTCCTGAATGCTTCTCAAAATAGCACTCAAATGCCACAAGTGCAACTCACCTCCCCTCTAAGATGGGTAAAATATGCGTACACTGGTATCCAGATGAAATGATGAGCCCACTGCACACCGAGTTCCTTGGCTTATTGTGGTAGAAGCTGAACAGACTGTCTATTCCATAGGCAACCTTGGGAATCCTGTAGCACTCGAAAAGAAGCTCGGACATCATTTGCCGTGAATACAGTGGGTTGCACACAGCTTCTGTCAAAACTATGGGATGATCAACGCAGCCCTACTTTGAAAGGAAAGGGCAAATAGATAAGGGACAACAGAATACTCTTTTTGAAGCATAAAAGAACCCAAAATCCTTATTGCGGGGCTGAATTTGCTTTTGGTCTCTTAATCAAAAACTTGATCATAGACAACTGTAAAACTCATCTTATTCTTACTGGAAAATACAAAAGTAGAGTCAATTTAAGTTATTAAGTCAAGGTCCCATCCAAACTGTGAGCAAATCGTGTTGGCTCCATCTTCCAAGTATCTCTCGAATCCAACTGCTTCTAATCACATTCCCTGCTACCTGCCTCGTCTAAGTCACCATTATCCCTCACCTGGGTTATTGCAATAGCCTCCTAACTTGTCCCTGTTTCCACCCTATGACCCATGACAGTTCATTCTGCATACAGCAGTCATAGTGATCCTTTTGAAACATAATTCAGGTCCTGCCTCAGCTCAACGCCCTGCCATGGCTCTCCATTTCACTCAGAGTAAAAGCCTACCAGGTGTGTGACTTGCCTCTCCACTTCCTCTCTGACGTCCTCTTCCACGTACTACTCTCCTCCAACACAGGCAGCCTTGCAATTAGGATTAGGGCACACTCCTGCCTCAGGACCTATTCACTGGCTGTTACCTCTGCCTGGACTGCTTTTCCTTCAGATATTCACATGGCTTGCTACCTGAATCACGTCCTTCAAGCCCTTGCTCAAATATCACCTTCGCCCTGAGTCCTATTCTGACCATTTTATTGAAAAAAATGTAACCCCCTCCTGTCCTATCATAGCATAGAATCTACTACTTAATTCTGTTTACTGTCTGCGTTTTCATACTAGAATATCTTTCCATAGTATTAATAGCTCCATAAGCACAGGAAGTTTTGTGTGTTCACAGATGTACTCCAAATGCCTAAAAAGTGCCTGACACAAAGTGCTCAATACATATGTGTTAATAAATGAGCTTCTTAAAAAACGAGCATATATGTCCAAATGTATGCTCCAAGATACGAGGAGCAGCCTTTTATTCGCTGCTATACCTCCAGCGCCTAGCATCTGATCCACTAAAAGACAATTGGAACTACTGAAGTGACTGTTACCTCTCCCAGTGCAGAGTGAGCGGAGCTGAGACCGCACCCCTCCCCTCAAGCCCAACCCAGCCCACTCCGCCCTTCACCTGTGAGGAGACACCCAGGTGCTGGAAACTGTAGTCCAGCAGCAGCTCCTGAAGCTCCAGGTTGACTGGCACGTTGCGGTCGAAGGGCGAGCGCAGCATCCAGCGCAGTGGCTCCAGGCTGCCCAAGGCATTGCCCACCTGCGGGCCCGACCCGCCCCGTGCCCCTCCACGACCGCGGGCACACACTGCGCGGAACTGCAGGCGCGGCTCGGGACCTGGGTCCTGCCCAGGACACGCCCAGCCAGCGCGGACTTGGAACGACCCGTTGTCCAGCACCAGCGGTACTGGCAGTGGACCGTGTGCCACCGGGCCGGCCTCCAGCACCGGGTCGGGTGCTGCCCGGGCGTCGCGGAACGGGAACACGTTCGCCGCCATTTTGGAGCGCGCGCCTAGTGCCGCCCCTCGGCGCAGCGTCCGCCCAAACGCCACAAAACCGCGCCCCCGACGTCACGCCGCGCGGCTCAGGCCCTCAAGTGCATCGATCCCGCCTCCCTTCCCTAAGCCCGGCCAACTTTTCCACCTGACTGGCGTGTGGCTGTCCAGGCTGCTTTCAGGATCGCTGAGACCCACCCATTCTGGCTGCGAAATTCTATGGTTGCTTAACCTCGCCCCCAGTAGCCCATGAGTGACCACGCCCCTTCGCTCTTGCCGGGACGCTCAGTTGGGAAGCCCCGCCCCAAAGCGTGTCACCACCAGCCACAGCGCCGCGCTTGGCGGAGCCCCGCCTCTCTGCCTGGGCACGCCCCATCGCCGGGCGCGCGCTTTCGACCGCCTGCGGCCCCGCCGTAGGGTGGCTGCCTCGCCCTCAGTCTTGCGACCCGGCTAGCAGGGACCGTTTACCATTTGACGCTTCCTTGACGTTAAGAAATCTCATGGGCGCGGTGGCTCACGCCTGTAATCCAAGCACTTTGGAGGCCAAGGCGGGCGGATCACCTGTTCAAGACCAGCCTGACCAACATGGTGAAATCCCGTCTTAAAAAAAAAAAGAAAGAAAGAAATCTCATGGCCGGGCGCAGTGGCTCACGCCTGTAATCCCAGCACTTTGGGAGGCCGAGGCGGGCGGATCACGAGGTCAGGAGATTGAGGCCACCCTGGCCAACGTGGTGAAACCCCGTCTCTACTAAAAATACAGAACAAAAGGTTTGGCTGGGCGTGGTGGCGCACACCCATAACCCCAGCACTTTGGGAGGTCGAGGCAGGCGGATCACCTGAGGTCAGGAGTTCGAGACCAGCCTCGTCTCTACTAAAATACAGAAATGAGCCTGGCGTGGTGGAGGGTACTTCAGGAGTCTGAGGCAGGAGAATCACTTGAAGCAGGAAGGTAGAGGTTGCAGTGAGCCGAGATGGTGCCATTGCCCTCCAGCCTGGGTGACAAGAGCGAGACTCTGTTTCCATGGAAGGAAAGGAAGAAGGAAGGGAGGGAGGGAGGGAGGGAGGGGAAGAGAGTGGAAGAAAGGAAAGAAAGAAATCTCAAACTGTGGTGCCAGCCATTCAATTTATTGACTAGGAAGGTGACTACGCAGGTCTGTTCACTTCTCCCACACACTGTGTCTTCTCACTAAGACCTCAAACACTGAGAAAGGACTGTTGATTATTCCCCAAGCGTTCCCTCTGGTTTGGTGACCATGTGTCTGGCTGCGATCTAGATGCGCTCATGTGACTAAATTCTGGCCTGGCCAGGAGCGGGTGGGAGAGGAGGTGAAGCGTGTGACCCACTCCCAGTTTTAGCCCTTAAAGCACTGGTCACGCTCTATCCTGTCCCACTCCCTCTTTTCACTAGCGAAGGGGGTAAGAATGAGAGCAGCTATTTCTCTACAGCCTTTTTTTGTGCAGTAGGGCTACCTCGGCTCACTGCAGCCTCGACCTCCTGGACTCAAGTGATTCTCCTGCCTCAGCCTTCCGAGTAGCTGAGATTATAGGCATGCTCTACCACACCCAGCTAATTTTTGTATTTTCAATAGAGACAGGGTTTTGCCACATTGGCCAGGCTGGGCTCTAACTCCTGGGCTCAAGTGATCCGCCTGCCTCTGCCTCCCAAAGTGCTGGATTACAGGAGTGAGCCACCTCGCCCAGCCTATCAACACTCCTAAACCAGATTGGGAGCCAGCCCAGGGGCAAAAATCAGGTTATGTTGGAGCTCATTGTTCAGATATCCAAAGTACCCATCCTTAAGTTAACTAAGAGGGGGACCAGCAGAACACAGAAACCAGCAAATACAAGTGAATGAATGTTAGTTTAAGAATTCTGTCTATGTGTAATCCCAGCTACTCAGGAGGCTGAGGCAGGAGAATTGCCTGAACCCAGGAGGCGGAGGTTGCCATGAGCTGAGATCGCGCCATTGCACTCCAGCCTGGGTAACAAGAGCGAAACTCCATCTCAAAAAAAAAAAAAGAATTCTGTCTATGTATATTAATATGAAAGAACACTCACTGGCTGGGTGCAGTGGCTCATGCCTGTAATCCCAGCACTGTGGGAGGCCAAGGTGGGCGGATCACCTGAAGTCAGGAGTTCAAGACCAGCCTGGCCAACATGGTGAAACCCCATCTCTACTAAAAATACAAAAATTAGTAGACAGGTGTGGTGACAGGCATCTATAATCCCAGCTACTCAGGAAGCTGAGGCAGGAGAATCACTTGAACCCAGGAGGTGGAGGTTGTAGTGAGCCGAGATTGTGCCATTGCACTCCAGCCTGGGCAATAAGAGCAAGACTTTCATCACACACACACACACACACACACACACACACACACACACACAGACACACACACAGCACCAAGGTAAATATATAGATATATTTGAGACAACTCCAACGGAGATGGCCAGGTGTGGTGGCTCATGCCTATAATCTCAGCACTTTGGGAGGCTGAGGTGGGAGGACTACTTGAGCCCAGAAGTTCAAGACCAGCTTCAGCCTCCCTAGTAGTTGGGACTACAAGTGCACACCACCACACCCAGCTAATTTTGTATTTTTTGTAGAGATGGAGTTTGGCCTTGTTGCACAGGCTGGTCTTGATAAGGGTTTGGCACAACATGAGGTAGCTGGGATTATTATTCCCAATTCTTCAGTCCTTTAATTTTTTTTTCTTCACTCCTTTATAGTAGGATGATACATCCATACCGTTTGCTATGTAACTTTGTAGAGCCTTTCCTTGCAGACACTGATATTAGGCTTGGTCATGTGACTTGCTTTAGCCAATGGACTCTTAATTGAATATGATTGGTTTAGACTGCCTTCTTGAACTCCTGCTATTAGTCATGAGAGGAACATACCTGATCCAAAGAGGATAAGAGACACATGAAGCAGATCTGAACCTAAACTGCAATCCAAAGCCAAGTCCAGCCAACCTGCAACCTCAAGTGAAGCTGCTCAAGAGACTTCTGAACAAGAAAAATGTTTTTTTTTTTGAGATGGAGTTGCATTCTGTCGCCCAGTCTGGAGGGCAGTGGCGCGATCTTGGCTCACTGCAACATCCGCCTCCGGGTTCAAGTGATTCTCCTGCCTCAGCTCCCAAGTAGCTGGGAATACAGGCAGGCACCACCACACCCAGCTATGTTTTGTATTTTTAGTAGAGATGGGGTTGCACCATGTTGGCCAGGCTCATCTCGATCTCCTGAACTGGTGGTCCACCTGCCTCGGATATAAACCACTGAAATTCTGGAGTTGCTATGCAGTATCATTGCAGGAAAAAATTGCTAATATGTTAGACCAATGCTGTCCAACAGAACTTTGTACATTGGAAATGTACAAATTGATAGAGATAGTCTAATATCTGTTGTGTCTAACACAGTGGCCAGTAATCACGTGGCCATTGAGCCCTTGAAATGTGCATAGTGTAACTGAAGAACTGAATTTTTAAAATATTTTAAATTTTAATTTTTTTTGAGATAGAATTTCACGCTTCTTGCCCAGGCTAGACTGCAGTGGCGCAATCTTGGCTCACTGCAACATCTGCCTCCCAGGTTCAAGTGATTCTCCCGCCTCAGCCTCCCGAGTAGCTAGGATTACAGGTGTGCACCACCATGTGGGCTAATTTTTGTATTTTTAAGTAGAGAGCGGGTTTCACCATGTTGATCAGGCTTGTCTCGAGCCCCCAACCTCATGATCTGCCTGCCTTAGCCTTCCAAAGTACTGGGAGTATAGGCGTGAGCCACCACGCCAGGCTAAAGGCAACTTCTTATACAATAAAAAGTTGTACAGGGAAGGAAGTGTAATCATGCTATACCTATCATACAATGCAAATCTTGAGTACTAAGCTAACTAAATTATCATTTAACTATGCCGGGAAACTGAAGGGGCAGGAACGTAGACTGGAGGAGTAGGAAAAGGAATAAAACCTCACCTGCCTGAGTGAGGAGTCAATCTCGTGCCTCAGCCTCTCGAGTAGCTGGGACTACAGGTGTCCACCACTATGCCCAGCTAATTTTTTGAATTTTTAGTAGAGACAGGGTTTCACCATGTTGGCCAGGCTGGTCTCGAACTCCTGACCTCAAGCTATCTGCCTGCCTTGGCCTCCCATAGTGCTGGGATTACAGGTGTGAGCCACCACACCTGGCCCAATATAAGCATGTTATTTGGAGATGTGGAGATAAATATTAACAGGATCAAGTGTAAGAATTGAGAGTAGCTGCCTCTTGGGAAGGAGATATTGGAGAAAGGGGCTACAGAGTGCTATTTGTTTTAACTTGTAGAATTCATTGATTCTTTACATTATGCATACATGTGATGCAAAAAATAAAACTTAAAAAATTGAAGTATGCTGGGCGCCGTGGCTCATGACTGTGATCCCAGCACTTTGGGAGACCGAGGTTAGAGGATCATCTGAGGTCAGGAGGCTACTAAAAGTACAAAAATTAGCTGGGTGTGGCGGCATGCACCTGTAATCCCAGCTACTTGGGAGGCTGAGGCAGGAGAATTGCTTGAACCTGGGAGGCAGAGGTTCAGTGAGATGAGATTGTGCCACTGCACTCCAGCCTGAGTGGCAGAGTGAGACTACATCTCAAAAAAATAAGTAAATAAATAAATAAATAATTTAAAAAATTGAAGTATGGGCAAAGACATATTAAACAAAAGTGAACAAAAGGGGAAAAAGGCAAGTTAATTTGAATATCAGAGAAAGTCTATTAAACTCTCCTTGGTTGGGCATGATGGCTCACGCCCACACTTTGGGTGGTTGAGGTGTAAAGATCGCCCGAGGGCAGGAGTTTAAGAGCAGCCTGGGCAACATAGCAAGACCCCATTACCAGAAAAATAAAAATAAAAACATTAGCCAGGCACGGCAGTGCACACCTGCAGCCCTCAGGAGATTGAGGCAGGAGGATCACTTGAGTTCAGGAATTTGAGGCTGCAATGAGCTATGATTGCACCATTACATGCCAGCCTGGGCAACAGAGTGAAAGCCTATCTTAACAAAAGATTTTAATAACAAATAATAAACTCT